CCACAGCAAGGCCTCATTACTCCCAGAACTGTTGAAGACATCGCTTAAATAAAGCGTGTCTGGAAAAATTCTGGAAAGGGTTAATCAAAGTATTTCAAAGGCTAAAACCTGGAACAGAAGTGAACCTTTCCAGGAACCTACCAAATTAGTTCAGACCAGGAGGTCACAAAAACCCTTGTAGATGACGCTAAAGAGCTGCAGGCCTCACGTTCCACAGTCAAGCTCAGAGTTTATGATTCAAGAATAAGAAAGTGACTGTGCAAACATGCGATCCATAGGAATCTATGGATGCCTGGATATAAAGTTCCAAACACTTCTAACCAAAAAGAACACAAAGGCTCTTGACATCTTGATGATCCCCAAGGAAGGTTTTCACAAAGGCCAAGATAGAATTGAAAAGCTTTTTTCCCCTTTAATAAATGAAATGATAATTTAAAGAACTACATTTTGCATTTACATGAATATCTTGTCTAATATGAACATTTGCTTGATGATCTGAAAACATGTAAATGTGACAAATATCCAAATAAATAAATCAGGAAGGGGGCAAATACTTTTCAAAATCACTTTGACTGCATTGGCACAGGGTCATAAAACTAACACCAATCCAAATTTTACAATCAGTTTTAGGAAATCCTTCTGACATCTCTTGTCTGATTATATTATTACAATTAAAATGATATTTTATAATAATAAGCTAATGTTCAGTGCTACTGCACAGACCCTAATGGCTCTACAGGCTCACTACATAAAGAGGGAATTTTCATTTACCTTTATTTCTTACAGAAAGGCTTACGGTGTGTAATTATGTGCTTCCTGATAATTTAGAGGATGTTATCCATAACCAAACCAAAAGTAAAGGAAACATATGTCAGCAAAACCTGGAAAAAAATACACCAAAAATACAGGGAAGTCCTGACGTTTTTGCAAGAGTAACAGTAATCCAATCATATGCGTTCACACATCTACAGTATGGATTCATTACATGTAACATTCATTACATTGGAGTTGCTAAAAATAAAATGTTGTACTTTTAACAACAATATGACATCAGAAGGGCTCAAATATAGGGCTCAGGAAAAACAGCAGTACCTGCCTAAAGATACACGAACAGCATGTTAACATGGATTTATTGTCTTTCCAGTTTCATATGTTTTGTATATGTTTTTGTTAAAATGTCTGCATCTAACACATAAATGTACTGAATTTCACACTTTGCTGATAAAGTGCATGGAAAGAGAGGTAGAACCTTCACAGATGAAGATGAATAGGTAGATTTATTATTGTTGCTCAGGGGATTCAGAATCATTGAGCAGGGTTGGTAAACTTGAAATCACACCACATAATCCCCTATAGCCAAATTTCTTGCATGAATGTGGTCTCGCTATTTTATTTAATTACATTTCTGTATCCACTGAATCTTTTACAAGTTAATATTAATTATATTTAGTTGCTTGACCCTGTTGGTTGTTTGCTACGACTCTTCCTCTCTCTGGAGTCACACATTTGCACTTCCCTTTTTGGCACAATGCCTCTTATGCAAAGCTCAACTTTAAAACTCTAGCCTTAACCTACACCTGATCCTTAGACTCAATTTGAACTCTCACCCAGCTTTTTGAACCTCTGTCCGCAAGCGAGGACCGGGATGTTCTCGTTTTCCAAAAATATCCTCCGCCTCATGCTCAGAAACTCAAATCGGTCCTCACAAAGATGGACACACAAGTACACACACATACCATATGCTACAATTCTGGCATCATCCTTGGTAATAAACGGGACTAAATGGAGGCAAGGTTGAAGCGTAGGAGGGCTGGCTGAAGTGTGTCTTTGTGTATATATATGTGCATGTCTCCTAGCAACCAGTACCCTTCACTCTCAGTCTGCAGTGAGCCGACAGAACATTATCAAGCTGCAGATGCAACAGGTGCACTGTAAAACATGCTGCTGGAATGAGGTAGAGAAGACTTTATTTATTGTCATGATTAATTTCAAGTTAAAACAAATAGAATCCTTTAGTTTTAAAATTAAAATGAGCATATCTGCCTATTTTCTTTGAACCAGTCAGTCTCTGTCATCTATTTTCAAAATGTCACAAAAGAATTCCTACTGGATCAATTACTGAATGTCATTCGGTAATTGAGCTGTTAAGAGCATCATTACCTGGATTTGCTACAAATTCAAGTAAAATCCCGACGATATCTGGCAGCGTTAAGGTGTCATGCTGCATCACATCCTCTGCCCACCAGTCCAACACAGTGCTTTACTGTAAAGTGACCCCAGTCCAACAAGCTCACCTGTTTGTTCTGCACTAATATGTTGAGAGCTTGAATAACACAAAGTTAGTATACTTAACTTTGTTTTGCAGTGAGCAGTACTGAGCTGAACATTATGCTCACTTCTCTTCTGTAATGCTAGCTAGATGCTGAAGCACCGCAACCACAGCCTATGGACATCTTCACCAAAAATACTGTTCCAGCTCATTCCAGCCCAGTTAAACCCCTGAGCATAGAGCTATGAATGATGTATAAATTATATGGTTTTGCCTCTTTCATCACTTTACATGTGATAAGCCACCATGATGGATATGCCATCCCACCATTTAGGCTCAGTTTGATGTTCAAAGACATGCAGCGCTCTGAAATCGTCCTTCAAATGTATTAAACCTGAAATAAAGAGCCTGTTTGGGAAATGTAAGGAGTTGAAAGCTCTGATATTTAAAAATAAAGATAAATACTGGAGTAAAGTGCAGATATCTGAAAATATTATTTCAGTACAGTACTAAAGTATTTCTACTTCCTTAATTCCCACCTCTGTATTCCAGCATGTGCATATTTAGTAGACCAGCTACTACTCACCACCTGATCCTGTTGTAATTTACCTCGAACTGTAATGTTTGTTTAACCCCGAACAAGTGATTTTGATGCCTAAGTAAGACTCACACACTACTCTACAACTCCGACCTCTCTGTAACTCCACAGTAGGACATTTACAATATTATTCATAGTCTAACAAGCATAGACACTACTGTGGTTCTGTCCCCAGTCTGTTCTCAGATCTATAGTTTATTCAACTACTGGAAGTCCTACTTTCTATAGTTCATAAATAAAAACAGGGGGAAAAGGTGACTAAAATGATCAAATTCATTTTTCACCTCATTTTCTTAGGTTCTGTTAACATTTTTCAAATTCCTATTAAATACCATGTTTTATGTTAATATTTTAGGTTTTTAAGCAGGAGGGTATCTCGCATTTTTATTAAATAGAGAAGTAAGAGTCTGTCAAAATTCAATAAAAAAAATATTATTTAGTCAGTCCATCCATCCATTATCCCATTCTCTTCCACTTATCCTTTTTTTTTTTTTTGGGGGGGGGGGGGGGGGGGGGGGGTTGTCTTAAGGCGAGAGAAGGGTACACCCTGGACAGGTCGCCAGTCCGTCACAGGGCTTTTAGTCATTTAAATTCAGTCTTATTTATATAGCATGAAATCACACTAACCATCACACTTTATATTGTAAGGTAAAGACCCCACGATAATACAAAGAAAATGAATGCATCCTTACTTTGTTCTTCACCAAGTCTATTTTTTAATTGTATTCTATTTATTCCCTTCTGTCTGCGGAGACTGCAATCCATTAGATTTAGGTGGACAAAATTAAATTGTTTCCAGTGGCAATAATCTCTGTCTTGATTAAAGAAAATCACAGACAAAATTATGTTACATGAAAACAGATTAACTTTATTACAAATTCCATTTCTGGTACAGTCTATGCTTTTCTGCACTGCAAACCAAAAAAGAGGCTGCATACAAGAAGAAAGCAAAATTACCTTTAAAAAAAAGAATCTGCTCCTGAGTTAACTGCTTGACCCACGTTTGCAACCAAATTAAACATCCTACATAATTAATCTAATCGTAAAAAGCCATCTCAACATTACTGGGAATTAATGGGTCTATGGCAAAATGGCAAGCCCAGACAGTAACCTGACTGCCCGACACTTACCCGAATCAAACCAGTGAGGAGAGTTTCAACCTGTGTTTTGCCTCCTCTGCACTTTACTAAAGTCACCCTAACCCCCCACCCCCCACCCCATACATCCATATTAGGGTAACAAATGCCTTGTCAGCAAAAGACAAACTCAAGAGGTAATATTTCACTAGTTTTAGATTAGTATATCCAAAAATCAATTTCTCAACCATAACTGCATATATTGTTAAGAAATTAGTAGTTGAATACAGTAATAATTACTGGGACAGTAGATGAAGAGAGGATAGACGGAGTAGAGACAGAATTTGGGATTTTGAAAATCTGCAAATATCTGGATTTACATAAGTGAACATTACGCACAGTCTCATCAGCTTCTGAATTCTAAACCTCTCCATTCATCCATCATTCATCCACCATCCCTCAGTCCAGGACATTTCCCTCTCTCCTCTCCTTTCCTTTACTCCCCTCCTCCTCCTCTCCAGCCACTGTTGACGTCCATGGCTCTGTCACCCGCATCACCGGTTTCCACGCTGCTCTCTGGTCCAGTCATGTAGTCATTATGGCTCTTCTAATTGCCTCTGTGTTCACACCCGCGCTGTTTGTCTTCTCGCGGCTCCCTTTCTTTTTCAGTTAGTTTTATTTTAGTTAATCAGTCGTCTTTTTGTCGGAAACTCTTTTTATCCTCTTGCACTTTTCTGACGCTTTGGGGAGTTCCGTGCGTCCGAGCCTCTCGCACCTCTCCACGGTGTAAATCCCTGCTCTGGCTGCTCCACCTGGACGTGTCGCTAATTTCCCTATTCATTCACCCGTGCGGTCGTTTCACGTCGTCGTGACTCCTAATTGTTTCTTGGCAGAGTTAGAAACCGGTGGTGAAAAGGCTCATATGAGTGCGCCTCCGCTGATCCGTGCGCCCAGCCCTCTCCCGTTCTCAGGGGGCACAAACAACACCAACACCGGCGCCGGGGGAGGGGTGGTGGTGGTGTAGGAGGAGGAGGAGAGGAGTGGTGGTGTGATCTCCTTCCACATCCAGATCGGTCTGAGCCGGGAGCCCGTGCTGCTGGATGCCGCGGAGTTCAGCCTCAGTCAGGTCCGGGAGGTGGCGTGCTCCATCGTGGACCAAAAGGTAACTAAAGAGTTTAAACCAAGTTCTAAAATCAAGTTCTAAAATCCTCTAAGTCCTGACAGAGTAATCATAATGTAAAGAAGTTACATTGGTGACATAAATCTTTCACGGGTTTAAAATTCATTAAATATAGACCATAAACACAGATAATTTCATTTCACGCTTTTCGTCTCTCTGATCTACTTTAAACTTGCCAAGTGTTTTGTTGAGGACCAAAGGAAGTGCAATAAGGAGTTTGGATTTTTCAGTGGGTTTCTTATTTGGGGGTTTCGTGACCTCACAGATGATGTCACAGTCCTCTCTGACCCAGTATATATTTTAGTTTTTTTTTTTAAAAAAGGGAAGTGGACACTGCACTACAGTATTTAAAATGAATATGATCTACAGATCATAATTTTTTTCTTGAATTTTTAAACACTTTCTGGTTTGGTTTTCTTCCTTCAATAAAACAAACAAACAAAAACATTTGAAGGTTAATGTTGTAGGTTATTGTTTGTTTTAGTTTATTTTTAATTGGGGGTGTCAGACATATATTAATCAAATTGACCCGCAACTGGGTACAAACCAGCCACTGGATTACTTTGCAAATTAGGAAGTCATCAATAATGAGTAGTCAGCCATCAATAGTGGGAAGACATCCATTTCTTAAATAAAATGCATTGCTATTCTTGGCACAGTGGTGCCAGCTTTCAGAACTACAGGTCAGACTCCAAAGAGAGATTTATCTCACATGTGTCAGATTTAAAAGGATTATTGAACAAGTTGTTGGATAGTTCTGGGAACTGGAGAGTAGTTCAGAAAGGGATACTGGTTATCAGAAAACAAGTGGATAATCTGTACAAGAGGAAAGAGAGTGTTATTTCTGGCCAATCTTAATATCGGAAGAATCTTGTGAAGCAATGGAATTGCCTTACTTGTGGATTATCCGGACATGAATCATAGAGGAGGTTATACGTTACAGGCAAGTATCCAGCAAGAAGAGACAAGTGGTGGTGGAGAGTGGGAAGGCAGGTCAGTGGGGTTGGAGGCTTGAGTGGAACTCACTGGGAATACAGGTAAGTCAGAAATCACATCCACAGAGTGAGACTGTGGGTGGTGTAACAATCTGTTGTCCTTCCTGGATGATAAGGAAATTCAGAACAGGTGTAGAAGGCAGAGAGAGTCATGCCCAAGGGTAGACCAAGGGAAACATTTACTCATCAATCCTGTATCAAGAAAAAGGATTAAAAAGTGAGTGAGATGAGCAGGGAAGGGCATTAATAAGAATTTACCAATTCCGATTCCGTTACGGATATCACTTATTGATTTAATTCTTTTACTGATTCTCATTAGGTTCTCTTTGGCTTTTAGACTCACCACCATCGCTAAGCAGCATCTCAAAGGCATTACAGTCATGCAGATTAATTGCGTGCTGTGTAGTCAAATGTTTGTGCATGTTGGAGGTATTTCTCATCTTTGTTGTGATCAGTGTTGGGCTCATCATTCAACAAAGTAATGTGTTGCACATTACACAGACAGAGCATTCACATTCCCAACGCGTAACATACCGACGATTTGTCGCGGTCCAAGGCGTGTCATAGTAACGCGAAAGCTACCCCTCCGTGTCCTTATTAAACGCTCCAGATTCCTAATTGAAGTGAATAGAAAGCTGCTTCGTGGCTTTCTATTTGCTTCCTTTTTATTCTCTTGCCAGCTTTCTATTGCAACCCTAACCATAATCTTAAATTTATAGATTTATTCCAACCTGCTCTCATGCCTCAGAACGCGCAACATGCTGATGATTTGTCACATAGTGTCTGCATGTTACGTGTTGGGATGAAAACGTGTTGACACAGAACAGTTTTCTTAAAAAGTAATTCAAAATATTAATTAATTCCAGGAGAAAGTTTTTACACTACTGGTTACATTGAAATGAACTAAAACACATTGTCTCATAATTACAATTAAACACAGTCTACAGTACCACATATCAGCACAAATCTCTATCCTAACAAGGACACACATACATGATTTTTCTCTTAGTATTTAGGTATGAAAACAAAACCAACAGAACAAAGCAAACATGAAAACCAGCACAAAGATACTTTAAAACAATCGCCATGGTGATTCTATATTAGAAACAAGAACAGGTAGAAATGGAGGCAGCAGTCTGACTGCTCATCACTTCTTGTTCTTTCTTTTTTTCCTGTAGAAGTTCAGGGTCTGGCTGCTGAGTTGGCTTTCACTCAGCTTCAACATAGCTCTTGGCTAGTTTAATAATACAGTAGCACGTTGTTTATGCTTGCAAAGAGCCAAAGTTATGTTAGCAGCATAATGCAATTGTTTCCGTCCTGGATGTTAAAATAAAAGTAATGTTCATATGCAGGTGTTTCACCTCACTGTTTTTGCACTTTTTGTAAAATAACTTTTTGAAACTGAGAACTCAGTTTTACCCTTTGAGAATACCTTCAAAACTTATAGATGATGGTGCAACTGTGAAGGGCTTGAGAGAGTCAGAAAAAAATACTATGTCATCATAAAAAAACTTACTCTGTACCAGTTATTCAGCAGCATAGACCAGAACCTTAAATCTGAGCCACAACCCTTACCTAATGAGACTGAATCAAGCAAATACCAAAAGACTGAATATTGAAAAGGCAATCTCTAAATGATGAAATGGGGATTTTAATTTGAGAATAGAAGCTGGAATTCTTGAACTGAGGATCAATGAGAAGAAATCATCCAAGAGGTGACACACAGCTGGAAGCTTAACTTTATTCAACACAATCCATCAGAGAGTTTCAAAGACTAGGTTGAAAATGACGTCTTTTACACCTGAACATTAAAATAACAGCAAAGTAACATTTTGAATTCCAGAAGGATGCCACTGAGCCCAAGGAGCAAAACTGGCTGAGTGGAAGAGATCAAAGGTGAGTGTACGCAGTTTGGGTTCTCCATCACTTGAAGGTGAAAGTCGACGGCATTTAGAAAAGGCATAACTGCGTCACATCCATGTTGCTGGTAGATGGCCAAGGATCCGAGCTTCACGGAATTTTATGCTTTTCCTGTGGAAGGGGAGGTGATGCAGCAGACTTCCTGGTTCTATTTTGCTTGCACGTAATTGTTTTAGAAGGAGCAGAAACAGCAGGAATGGGGGTTTGTTGAGGAGGTGGACTGACTTGCAGTCCAGACTGAGTCATGTCTAATGCAACAGCAAGCTCTCATATTTTCTCATGCACTATGATCGGGCAAGAAGATGCAGAGAAGAGTACTTCTGATGGGACACAATACAGGAGCTCCCTCTACTAGAATTTCACACAGATGAGGATTCAAATGGCTCTGGCTGATCTTGATCAGGAATAGGTTCGAGGATGTCACTAAGAGGGGGACATGATTAAAAATGTGATAGCATGACAAAAGAAACATCATAAACACCACTGCATGTATGAAAGGCAGAATGACAGAAGTGGTTTGTGATTTAAACCACACAGAAGTGAGTCTGATTGGCTCAGTTGAGGAAGAAGATGATTGGACTGGAACAACGATGCCAGTGTTGAGTTTGACAGTGTGGGAGAGCGGTAGTGATGTAAAGAAGCTGAACACCTAGGGAAGTGGGCAGATGATTGCAGAGCTTAATACTGAACTAACACATAGGCTTAGAATAGTAGAAAGGGGAATACTGTTGCTATGTCACTTTCCACACCTTTACAAATCAGTTTTTATACACTATACAGGTTTGTTTCCAGTACAGCAACTTTACCTCAGGAATGCTGACTAGTTGTGACAAAGCTTATATTAAGCTTTGTTATATACGTCAACAATAATAAGGATGGTGGTTTCCATTCGATTCTTTCACCAGCAGATGAAACAAAATTTGGCACAAAAGAATTTAGTATATCACCGAGGGTAATTTGTTTAAGTTAATTGCTGTTAAAAAAGATTTATTGTTGACAAACAGTTTCATGAATTGTTTGTTTTAAAATAACTGTATTGACAATGTATCAGATGCTCAAATAAGGCATTCGAATGTATCCATCCTCGCAAACATGGCTGCATTTTTAGACTTTTGATACAGTGTTTTTTATTTGTTACATGCAGCAGGAGATTTGAGGTGCAGCAGCAAGCCTTTGCTGCTGAACAGACTAACACATGAACACACAACATTTCTCTGATGGCATGCAGTGTGTTTAGCAGTTTTTCGCTCTATGTGTAAAGCCTACAGTATGTGAGTCTGGAAAGGAGTGTTAGTCAGTTGGTGACTCACTCTGAGGCTTGTTTCTCATTGGAAACATGATTAATTCTGCCTTTGTTCACTCGCTCTGCAGGGGTTTTTCTGTTTTTCTGGCTTTTGCTTTATGAACTGAATTGAACTGCAAAGCTGTTACCGAGCACTCATAATTAAACCACGCTGACACACACACAGACAGTGTCGATGTCCTTATGAATGTGATAGATGTCCTATTTCTCACATAGGCAAGCAGAGAGAAATCTCAGAGGAGTTTATGAATGCAGGCGTGTTTTTATTCTCTTATTTCCACAAATAACAATAATGTTGTTGCAAATTACTTTTTCTCTTTCTCCAACACCTAATCAAACCAACGTCCACTCCAAAAGCTACAATGTAAAACATCAAGCCCTTCAGTGTCAATATAATTGCAATTAATGTCTATTATTTTATCTTAATTTTAATTTTATAAATGGGACTGGGTAGTATATACCAGTGGCCCCTTAGCTGTTGTGCGTGTAGTGCATTCCAAAGTGTCGTGTATTGTAATCACATCACATTTTTTCAGTAATGCAGCACGAAGTTAAGTAATTACATTACAGTTAATTGTAACTGTTGACAAAAAAATTGTAACTGTTGACAGAAAGTTACAAAGTTTTTTCTTCCTGTGCACTGGGTTGTATGAGCTGAGCTACAGTTTTTGGGGAGTAGAGATACAGACAGTACTTTTATTTTTATTGCACAAAAGAACAAGAATGCAATGGTAAAGTGCAAACTGCCTCTAGGACAAAAACAA